CATTTGAGTTTTGCACTTATTAAATTTAGGGTATTTTAAAAAGTGTAAACCATAAATAATCCTGAGAAACTAGAGCATACAAACCATAATATAAAAATTGTAATTGCATTTAAAGTTTGATTACAAATACATGTATGCCTTTATAAAGAGGTTAGTGAAAGTAATTTCTAATGTACAGTACTTGAAAATAAAATTCACGTCCCTTATGTTTAAAAGAACATTTCCTATTGGACTTCTCTGCACTTGATTTTACAAATATCAAATAGAACACTTATCTGACATTAGGGATCCATTCAATATAAACAAATTTACAAGGTGACTTAAACACCAATACTTTATAATTATGTTAAATTGCCATTTCTCTTCCTGAACTAAACAAATTTAAAAGTGATTCTTAATCCTTTTTTTGGGTCAAGATTGAATATATGTTCAGCCTAGACTTCTGTCATTCCTTTCATATTTCAGCTCATAAATTTAATTTGAAGGAATTTTCTGTTTGGGAATTTCCTAAATTAATAGGCTCTACCAATCATTTATTTCTCCCCCCTTTCCCTACCTTCCATTAATTCGATATTTACTCCAATCCAGGATCTGTTCTAGGCCCTAGTGATGGAGCAGTCACAAAGCAAGCCATCATCTCATTGGTAACCTAGTCATTTCACAACTTTCAAATTACAGAATACAGCAGCAAGAAATAGTACCAAGTTAGAGATATGTGGATCTTTATATTAAAGAGCTTTTTTTTGTGTCCTTTTTTGTGTGTGTGGTAAACTATACATAAAATTTAGCATTTGCAGGTGTACAGATCTGTGGCATTCAGTACATTCATTGTGCAACCATCACCACCATCCAACTTTTTCATCTTCTCCAACTGAAACTCTACAAATTAAACACTAACTCCCAGTTCTCCTTTTAAAGTACTTTTAATTTTTCCAAATGAAAGTGATCAGAGCCAAACTCTCCTGACACTGTGGTGCTTCAATTACTCATGTGTCAATGCTCACCCTTAAGGGGAGGGAGTCTAGGCCCTCTTTGACAGTCTCAATTTTTTCAATTTTATCTCTAACTCATTGTTAAAGTATGTTACATTCCCAGCATAGAGTATCCTCTCAAATTTACACGCACACAAAAACCCCCGCAGTATTTGTAGAAGTCTGAAAAATCATGCCATGAAAATCTATTCCAGGATTAAATTGCCATCAGAAAGAAACATACCTAGATTCACATCACAGTATCCTAGTGAGGACTCATGACTGGTTTGAGTGTTAAGCAACTGCTTTGTTTTTAACCTATGAACACCAAGCAAGGTTTCCCGATTGGACAGCCTTTTTAGGGTCAGTTAAGATTAAGTGTAGGGTAGAACTTAGTCAAACAGAATGCCATAGTATGTATGCATTTTTGTACTAACATCATGTAATCTTTTTTCCCCTCAGTTCCATTAGTTTTTTCTCTCACCATATTGTTTTTGAAAACTGTTACCTCAATTTCATTTTGAAATATTTTTGTGGTATAAATAATTCAGAGTAAAGCTTATTTTCCTTTAGTAAAATCTGAACACCTTTTGCTCCAAGAAAAGACCACCCTTTCTTGTATAATTGGTGGGAGCTTAAATTGGCAAAACCTGGTATTTCATTTGTATTTTGCTTTCTTAGAAATTACTTAGGCCTTTCTTGTTTTCTATATTCATTACTCACCTTATCTTTTTTACATGCTTTTATTTTATTTATTTTTTAAAAATATATTTTATTGATTTTTTACAGAGAGGAAGGGAGAGGGATAGAGTGTTAGAAACATCGATGAGAGAGAAACATCAATCAGCTGCCTCCTGCACATCTCCTAATGGGGGTGTGCCAGCAACCCAGGTACATGCCCTTGACCGGAATCGAACCTGGGACCCTTCAGTCCGCAGGCCGACGCTCTATCCACTGAGCCAAACCGGTTTCGGCGACATGCTTTTATTTTTATTATTTTAGCGAGAGGGAGAGAGAGATGGAAACATCGGGGCATGTGCTATGACCGGAAATCAAAACTGCAACCTCTTGCCCGGCTGGCATGGCTCAGTGGTTGAGCATCCACGTATGAACCAGGAGGTCACAGTTCAATTCCTGGTCAGGCCACATGACTGGGATGCAGGTTGGAGCCCATGTGGGTGTGTGTAGGAGGCAGCCAATCAATGATTCTCATCATTGATGTTTCCATCTCTCCCTCTCCATGTTCCCCTGAAATCAGTAAAAATATATTAAAAAACACACACAAAACTGCAACCTCTTGGCTCATAGGTCAATGCTCAACCACTGAACCACACTGGCTGGGTTCATCTTACCTTTTAATGTACATTTTGTAACACAAAAATGCACCAATTTTGACCATTCAATCCACTTAATTTCAGGTTAAGTGGGAAAAAGGAAATTCATATGCCTAAAGCATTGTTTGGCATCAGGAGTGGCCATATTTTGAATAGACCTTAATTTTACACTACAGGCCCGGTGCACAAAATGCGTGCACTTAGGGATTTGAGGGTCCCTCAGCCTAGCCTGAGCCTTCTCGAAGTCCGGGAGCCCTCCGGGGATGTCTAACAGCTTAGGCCCACTCCCTGCTGTGGGAGCACACTGACCACCAGGGGGCAGCTCCTGCATTGAGCGTCTGCCCCCTGGTGGTCAATGTACGTCATAGTGACTAGTTGTTACGCTGTCGGGCCGAATGTGAAAGGACACAGGCCAGGCCAAGGGACCCCACCAGTGCACAATCAGAGCCAAGGAGGAATGCAGGAGGTTGGTCAGCAGGGGAGGGACCATGGGAGGGCTCCAAGGCGTGTCAGGCCCACCTCGCTAAGTCCCAATCAGCCGGACCCCAGCAGCCAGCTAACCTACTGGTTGGAGCATCTGCCCTCTGGTGGTCAATGCACATTATAGCGACTGGCTGACCAGTTGACTTGTCTACCACTGGTGGTCAGTGTACGTCATAACAAGTAGTTGAGCGGCTTTAGCATATCATGCTTTGGTTGAACAGCCAACTGGCCACTTGGCATATTAGGCTTTTATCATATAGGATTACAAATAAAGACTTTCAATTGCCATAATGAAGCAATATATATATATTTGTGCTTCATAGTTCTCAGGGTGCTAGGAAATTCAAGTATTCTAAGCCACATTCTAAAATACAGCCACGAGTCTTCGAGAATCTCTGGGTAGTCTATGACAGGAGCTTTTATCCAGAAGTACTAGTATGCATAATGTTCCTGAACTTGTATGTAAAATTGCCCTGTTTTTCTGCAAGTTGCCTCTCCTGTTTGCTACTTTACAGGATAACTACCAGTTAGAAAACTGGTGCATATTCCTATAGATTTTATTCTACGCACAAAGAAATTTAAAAACCTAGTATTTGTATACACAAATTGCTTTACATCTTTTTCTAGGAAGACAGATTGCATTTTTATCAGATTTTTAAGGGCTCTATGATCATTCTCCCCTCATCCCCCAATCAACAGGAACCACTGTTGTAGGGAGTTAGAACAAGTTTTTCTTACCTTCAACCAGTTTAATAATATTGGTAACAGCCCTAGCCAGTTTGGATTAGAGCATCAGCCCATGGACTGAAGGGTCACACGTTTGATTCCAGTTAAGTACACATACCTCAGTTGCAGGCTGGATCCCTGGCCCTGGCTGAGGCACATGTAGGAGGCAACCAATCAATGTGTCTCTCCCCCTCCCTTCCACTCTAAAAACCAATGGGAAAAATATCCTTGGATGAGGATTAACAAAAAAACAAAAACAAGAGGCCCAGAAATACCCCATTTTTTTTGGTATGTTGCATATCCACATCCATGCAATGTAACACATTTAGTCCTTAAGCCTAATATGTACCCATATATCTATAGCAATATACCCATGCACCCACTTCTGACAACAGCTCCCTTCTATAAAAAAACTTGCTGGATGGTTGAAACCACACCTCCCAAACCCTTCCCCAGCAGGGCCCCGCCCTTAAGGTTATCATCTGTCTTCTCTTGTCCAATATTTCAGGTATTCTTCTGCCTTGTAAGGCCATTACATTTGCTATTTCCTACACCCAACATACTCTTCCTTCCAGATAAGGCTTCTTCCCTTCCCTTCAGATTTACTTAAATTTCACCTTCTTAGGGAAGACTTCAAAGATTGGTCTGTTAAATTTTTATCCCCCCCTTATTTACCGAGTCTCCTTCCCTGCTTTTTCACCATCAACATACATGTAACACACACACACACACACACACACACACACACACACACACACACACACACACACGTTTAATTATGTTTACAGTCTCTTCACATGGCTGTTTTCTTCCAGACTGTCGCTAATGTTATCACTTTTTGTTGATATACTTTTAATAACCTGGCTTAAAGAACAAAAACCCTTCAGCCAGGGACCAACAAGAAATCGCTTTGTTCTTTGAATAGCCTATATTGGAAAGAAAAACTATGACAAACATTTTATAGTTTTTTAATTAAGATATCTGAGGTGCTTCAATCCCATAGATCCCATCAATCTACTATACAGATCATAATAATCTAATTTTATATCTGCTTTCGGGGAGGAACAAAGGAGCTCATGCTCCTATACTAAAAAAATGTTTTTTATTGTTGACAGTATTACAGATGTCCACCTTCTAAACCTTTTCATAAAGATCACCTGACACATCAGATAGATACCTCTTTGTGAAAACACCCTTCTCTTACATTATAGTACAGTCATTTCAGTGTGTTTCCTATTAGAATGTGGACTTTGTGAAGACACGAACCATGTTATCTTTCCTTCAGCATGGTGCTTGATACTAAATACTCTCAATATTTACAATATGGCCAACAAAAATGGGAGAGTAAAACAAAGGTTTTTAAAGACTGAATAAGAGACAAGTATTTCATTTAGATATAAGCAAAAATGTTAGGAAAAGAAAGGACTGGCTCCCAAATCAATCCAGTTATATTTTCCCTTTGTAACACAATAAAGAGACAGTCCCATTTTCAAAGAAATTAACTTTTATTTGAAAGGAGACTACTCTTCCCCACACATATCCTCTAAGGACTCTAAACTATACAAGAGCCTGCTTAACCACTGTCCCATACCAAGATTTCTAACAGCAAAGTATACAATTGCTCTAAGTAATAAATAATAGTAAGGGTTGTCCTTCACTGATTAAGAGAATACTTAAACTTCAATAAGTTCAACACAAAAAAAAATCACACTGTAAAGTTTGTAAGTCTTAACAGATGTAGTTTAAATAGAACATGTTTTATAGGAGCCCACAAGCTTTCCATCTCTAAGAAAAATGCCCTTTTTAAGGTTATAAATTTTCATTTTTTCAAAAGAAACGACTGTTTTATAGCTTCAAACTTTCTACACTCAACTATTTGACTGCTCCATGACACCCCAAACCTGACATGACTGAACTATTTTATGTGTTACTATCTTCTCCAAAAGAAAGTTAAGGAGTTTGTCACAAATGTAGATTTCTAATACAGTATCTAACAAAAAAGCTTTAAAAAGATCATTTCTTTCCTTTTTTGATTAGCCAGAAGTTAATTTTCTGTAAAAGCAAAAACAAAACAAAACAACAAACAAACCCAAAGCATAACACTGGGGGTTCCATTTTTTTTTTTTTTTACTCAAGATGTTTAACTACTCAAAATGACAATTAGAACTTTAAGAGTATAATAAAAGGGGTGGAAAACACCAATGCAATTGACAAAGTGTAGACGCTAAATAAACCAAAGATTTTTTTTTTCGGATTCCTTTTAAGTAGGAAGGATTAGAAGCTCAGGGAAATCCAGAATTAAACAACAAAAGAGAAAAAGATATCCTCAAATGTAATCATTCTCTTCATCAATAGCGTCCTGAAAGAGAGAGAAAAAAAGTTAAAATGACAATTATAGTTTGACTTGCATATAGTAACAGCCATCATATACCCTAATTTTCTAAAACTAACCATTAATTAGAACAAAGCTGTAGAAGCTTTGTTTCTTAATGCTGTAGAAGCACAAAGGACTTACTCGGGCTGTAGGAACGAGATCTTGATCGTGATCTGTATCGGCTATAGTAAGGAGAGGGTGATCTTCTTCTGTAGGAAACAAAAGATTACTTAGCATACACATAATCCACTGAGGCAAATGAAAATGAAAATTCCCATCATTCAAAATAATAATGGACCCAAGATGATAACTATTAATTTCTCTGTGTGCCAATGATACCAAAACAGTAAGTATATGGCACAACAAAATACTAGCAAACACAGGTAATTTATGTATGTATTCAGTTTTGAAAAAATAATTCTTTCCTACTTTCTTAAGAAAGGATCATATAAAATCTTTCCAATATTTTTCTTAATACATATCAAACATAAATCAAAAGCACCAAATAATACAACTATCATCTAATTTAGAAACTACAAGTTAAATATTACCTGTATCGGTAATCGTAGTCTTCATATCTGTCATAACCACGCTCATATCCTCTTTCATAGTAAGAATCTCGACGCCTGCCACCTCCTCCGCCTCCACCACCGCCTCCGCCTCCACCACCACCACCACCACTACTACAAAAAAATGTAAATATTTGATATCAATGTGAACGATTATTTTCCAGTATCACTTAATATAAAATGGTACTTAAGTAAAATAAAATAGAGGAAGGAGGTGAGAAAAGGCAAAGAATAACCCTTTCATGCCAATTACCTCTATGTCTTAGTTGGCTGCCACCCATGGTATTCTTGCCTTGGCTTCTTATTCATTACATAAATAACCAGGAAAGATTACACACAACTCTCCAAACTATAAACTGCTCTTCTATTAATGCCCTGCCAAAATCACCAGGATCTTTTCAACAAGGTGAAATGAACTGTGCTGGAAAACAATACCAAAACACTAAGAAGTGCCCAGTCAGTGTGGCTCAGTGGTTGAGCATTGACCCATGAACCAAGAGGTCACTGGTTTGATTCCCAGTCAGGGTACATGCCGGGTTACTGCTCGATCCCGTGGTGGGAGACATTCTGGAGGCAACCAATCAATGTTTCTCTCTCCTCCCTTCATCTCTCTAAAAAAACAACAAAAAAAAAAGAATAAAAAGGGAATACTTTAAGAATGTATGATATTTTTCTAATATCTAACACTTTTTTCTATCTGTAGAATACCAAGGGCCAGAAATGCACTTCAATAATTTTAATTTAGCCTCCTGTGTGTGCGCGCGCGCACACACATACACACACACACGCAGTACACCTTTGAACTGCACCAGCCTACTTATACAGATTCCCCTCTTCCCCCCCAATAAATACCTGCACTGTTTTCAATCAATAGTTGGAGTCTGTGTATGCAGAGGGCGAACTGCATGCACTGATCCATGGCATTTTACTTAGGGCACTTGAGTATCATGGATTTTAGTATCCACAGGGGTCCTAGAACCAATCCCTGGTAAATACTAAGGGAAAACTATGTTTTCGGAGAGCTGAAAGTTCGATGTGGATTTTTGACTGCACAGGATTTGGTGCACCTAACCCCTTCATTTTTCAAGGGTCAACTGTATATATAAAAAATGATTCAAAGAATATATACAAATTAAATAAATTTCCATTTCAATTATAGGGAAAATTTTATCGTTTGACTTATCAAAATTTTGTAGATACATCTGGTAGACTTCTGGCTAAAATAGTTTAGCTTAGGAAACTTGAAATCTTACTGAGTTGGTCTGCCCATGTAGATGCCTGGTGTAGGTGTATGTGCTCTCTTGGTGATAGAATAGTCCACACGAATTCTTCTGCCATCCAGCTCCATTCCATTCGCCCTTTCCATAGCCTTTAAAGAAAAGGCACAGTCAGTCATGCATAATTCACCAAGGAGAGACTATCAAAACTGTAATAAAGTTAACACTTTCCATTTGAAATTTCAAAAATTAAAATTCTCTAAACACTTTTTTCAAACAACAGGGGGTATGATTTTACATATGAATCTCTGCTATATGCATGTCAATAGCATTGAGTTTTCTAATGCACACATGGACACTTGCAGGCCTGCGCTGAAAGACTGGGGCAGCTAGAGAGAAGGAACTACACAACTCAGGGAAGCTTGCATAACTCTGGGGATGCAGTGACTAATTGCAGACTGGGCAACTCAAAGCAGAAACTACAATTCAAGTGACAAGTTTAAACTAGTCAAGCTGTTCCTTAAGAACACACTGCCATCTAGTGTAGTGAACTACAAATAGAAAGGAACCTCTACCTCTCAGTAAGTGTTCCTGTCTTATACGTGCATTTGTATTCCTTTTGACCTTCGACACTAATACCAATAAATACAATAATAATTATATCATTTTAACAAATTTGCATGAAGTTCTTTGAACTAACTAAAGTTGCCATTTTCATTTTATTTTGCCCAGGAATAAACCTGGGGGTGGGGGTGGGAGGAGAAGAATCAAGAGAGTACAAACAAGTTTCATATATTAAAAAGTTTTAATTGTTCACACTCTTCAACATTTACTTCAGGTCAGATATCTTGAAATTTCTAAATGTACACCTTTATCCCTTAATTGAGAACAGAAATAAGCTAAGTAGTCCCCCCGCCTCCACCTGCAGTTTCAGTTATCCACAGTCAAACTCGGGACGAAAATATTAAAATGGAAAATTGCCGAAATAATTCTTAAGTTTTAAAATTGTGCATGTCCCTCCCGGGATGTGAATTATCCCTGTCCAGCATATCCACATTATATAACCTACTCTACCCACCCCCACCCCCATTAGGCACTTACTGGCTGTCTGGGTTGTCAAATCAACTGTCATAATATCAGTGCTTGTGTTCAAGTAACCCTTATTTTACTGAATAATGCCCCAAAGCATAAGTATAGCAATGCTGGCAATTCAAATATGCCTAAGAAAAGCTGTAAAAAGTGCTTCTTTGAAGTGAAAAGTTTGGTCCTGTCTGAGGTTTTAGGCATCCACTGGGGTCTTGGAACGTATCCCCCGTGGATGGATAAGGGGGGACTACTATATGTAACAGTAAAAAATACTGACAAAACATTAGAATGCCTATTATATAAAGGACTTACAACCTGAAGCATTATTTTGTTATGACTTTTATAAGCACACCACCATCAATACTTTGGGACTGTTAGTTCTATGCTGTGGGTGGCTATCCTGTGCACTGTAGGATGCTTAATATCATCCCTGGCCTCTATCCACTAGATGCCAATAGCCCAGCCGTGGGCAAACTACGGCCCGTTTGAAATGAATAAAACTAAAAAAAAAAAAAAAAAGACCGTACCCTTTTATGTAATGATGTTTACTTTGAATTTATATTAGTTCACACAAACACTCCATCCATGCTTTTGTTCCGGCCCTCCGGTCCAGTTTAAGAACCCATTGTGGCCCTCGAGTCAAAAAGTTTGCCCACCCCTGCAATAGCCTCTACTATTTTTAAGAGATATGCTAACATGTATTATGATTATGTTGCAATTAAGCACTGTTGATATATAGAGCAATAATCTATATATCCAACTACTGACTGTCACATGTAAAATGGTACAAAGAAGAAATGCTAATACTTGTCATTGTTAAGGTTTGAAAAAACCTTAATAATTAGCTTCTAATTCCTTAAAATGGAATTTTCTAACTCAGTCACTATAAACTTTTAGTATAGAGAAAGCAAGCCTACTGCTTCCTTTATAATCCAATACCTATTACATTAGAATAGTACTATTTCAAATCATCCTGTTAGGCAAATTAAGAATGGCACCGAGAAAAAAAAAAAAAAAAAAAAAAAAAAAAAGGCCCCAAAAAAAAAAAAAAAAAAAAAAAAAAAGAATGGCACCAAACAAAAAATAAAAGGTACTAATAACTCTTTTAGTCCGACCGATGTATCTATGAACCAGGAGGTCATGATTCCATTCCTGGTCAGGGCACATGCCCAGGTTGTGGGCTCCATCCCCAATAGGGGGTGTGCAGGAGGCAGCCAGATCAATGATTCTCTCTCATCATTAATGTTTCTACCCCTCTCCCTCTCCTTCCCTCTCTCTGAAATCAATAAAAACACTTTTAACGCCGAAACCGGTTTGGCTCAGTGGATAGAGCGTTGGCCTGCGGACTGAAGGGTCCCGGGTTCGATTCCGGTCAAGGGCATGTGCCTGGGTTGCAGGCTCCGTCCCCGGTGGGGGATGTGCAGGAGGCAGCCAATCAATGACTCTCTCTCATCACTGATGTTTCTATCCCTCTCTCTCCCTCTCCCTTCTTCTCTAAAATCAATAAAAAAAACAAAAAACAAAAACAAAAAAAAAACACTTTTAAAAAATACTAATTCTTTTCGTGTATTGTTTTTCGACTAGAGGCCCAGTGAACAGATTCATGCACCGGTGGGGTCCCTCGGCATAGCCTGCTTTGATTGGGCTGAAACCCGCATCCAACATCCCCCCGAAGAATGTAGTAGAGCATGAAGCGGCAAGCGGTTGGGGAGGAGGCACTCCTGCTCATCCAGCTCCCACTCATCCTGGTCAGCTGAGTGGTGTTCCAACTGTAGGAGTGCACCTACTACCAGGGGGCAGCTCCTGCGTTGAGTGTCTGCCCCCTGGTGGTCAGTGCACGTCATAGCAACCGGTCCACCAGTCAACAGGTCGCTTAGGCTTTTATATATATAGATTATACAACAGAATAACAGATGAACATTAAGAGAATAGAAAAACAAAGCTGTGTATCTATACATGGGGAGTTAGTTAGACACAAAATTAAACAGATTAAACCTAAACATCATAATTCTAAAAAGTCAATTGAATCACCTGCTTTGAACATGAATAAGGCTTATTAAAAAGAAACACTTCACATTTTTCCATTAATTCAAACATACATCTCACTTTACAAGGCCGGATTTCAATAAGGATATACCTATACCAGAAGTGAAACTGGCCATTCTAATTGTAACACTGAATCAGGTCAAGAACAAAAGAGGACATGTTTATGGAACTGGGAGTCGATTAATCAACTTTTAATAGCAACTCAATACTATAATCATGTATATCAGAAAATGTTCAAAATGACAATTATAAAAACAAAATTACCTCCTTTGAGTCATCTATTCTCTCAAAATAGACAAAAGCAAATCCTCGTGATCGTCCAGTTCGCTGATCATAAACCACATTGACACCACTCAATGGTCCATATCGAGAAAATACTTCACGAAGATCTCTCTCTGTTGTATACAAACTGAGGCCAAACACTCCAAGACAAGTGTTGGGATCTGGATTTGCCTGTTGAATAAAGATGTCGTTTAATTTTAAGCTCCAAATTAAAATAAATATTAAAACAGGTGCTTAGAACACCTTACCCAAAGACTATATTGTTTCAAGTGACTTGAAAATAATTTAAGAGGAAAATAAACCAATGAGTTATATCCTACAGTTCACAATAACACTCCTGCCTTCTTCTTCTTTTTTTAAAAAAAAAAATATATATTTTATTGATTTTTTACAGAGAGGGATAGAGAGCCAGGAACATCAATGAGAGAGAAACATCAATCAGCTGCCTCCTGCACACTCCCTACTGGGGATGTGCCCGCAACCAAGGTACATGCCCTTGACCGGAATTGAACCTGGGACCCTTCAGTCCGCAGGCTGACGCTCTATCCACTGAGCCAAACCAGTTAGGGCAACACTCCTGCCTTCTGTGGAATAAACTTCAGGTTGTAGCCTGAATAAAAACAAAAACTCCACTCTGTAGTCCAGCAATTTTCAGAATGCATACTAAGAATTCATCCTTAGTTTAATGCCATATTTCTAGTTTATTCAAATGTTTTCCATCCCTATAGATGTGTACTCAATCTGACTTTATCTGCAATTGCTGATTAGACTCCCCACTGCCCAATTTCATTCCTTAGTAGATGCACATGGCAGTCTGCAGTATCACATGGGAGAAGCACAGCATAGTAGTTAAGCACAGGAATACTAGTCAAGAGTTTGGTTGAAATCTGGACTCTGCCAGTTAGCCAAAAACAAACCTCCATGTCACATATTCAAGAATCAGCTTATCCATAACATGGCAACTTGCCTCACAGATGTTAAGAATATTAACTGTATTAAAGAATTCTGCACAGTGCTCATATTATGAGTGCTGGCTATTTCTATAGTTTTTGGTATTTACCTGCTGTCTACCCACTAACTGCCGTAAAACTTTTATTTATTTTTTTAAATATATTTTATTGGTTTTTTTACAGAGAGGAAGGGAGAGGGACAGAGAGTTAGAAACATCGATGAGAGAGAAACATCGATCAGCTGCCTCCTGCACACCTCCTACTGGGGATGTGCCCACAACCAAGGTACATGCCCTTCACCGGAATCGAACCTGGGACCTTTCGGTCTGCAGGCTGACGCTCTATCCACTGAGCCAAACCAGTTAGGGCTGCCGTAAAACTTTTAATTTCATTATTCTCAACACAGATTATGCTTTCCATTTTAGTTTTGGAACATACCATTTCTCTCCAAATTTCATCTCTTTAAACTACTCAAAAGTCAAGGAAAGAAAATATACTTAAATGTACATTAAATAATATCCATACCCTCAAGGATGCTTCTTAAGTACTACTTTTTTTTTTAATTAAAAAATATGTTTTTATTGATTTTCTTTAGAGAAGAGGTAGAGGGATGGTGAAATAGAAACATCAATGAGAAACATGGCCTCCTGCATGCCCCCTAATGGGGACTGAGTAACCAAGCTGGCATGTGCCCAGACTGGGAATTGAACCGGTGACCTCTTGGTTCATGGGTTGATACTCAACCACTATGCAACACTGGCAGGCTTGAGTACTACTTTTTAAACCATGGTCTCACTCTCATAAAGCAAGATATTATGCTATGACTAAACACATATTAAAGATAAAATAAGTTCATTAACTTTTATAAACCACATACCCTGCTGCCTGTATGTCTTCTCCGGTTAGACATTGGAGAATGACTTCGGCTCCTTCGACGCCGGTATTCTGGTGTATATGACCTACTTCGAGATCGTCTCCTATGAGAGTGAGAATGGGATCTGGATCGGCTGTAACGTCTATGAGAATGCCTCCTTGACCTCGACCTTGGAGAGAAATAAATGCAGGTAATACTTAAACAAATGGCTAATGCCAAGGACCTATACATATATCCCTGTTTATTCTCAGCTCCTTACTGAAGAAAGGGTAGTCTTCCTCTTGTTCTCTTAATCATTACAATCTCCTCCTTGTTCTCAGTCTATCCTTTCTCCATTCTCTTTTCACCTTACCTTATAAGCATGTTAAAGTTCTGCTTTCTTTTAAAAACAAAATAAAAAAACAAACAAAAAACAACAAAAAGCCCAACTACAACTAGGAAGGAAATTCTGCGATATTCAACACAGATGAAATATGAGGGCATTATGCTAAATGAAACAAGTCACTCACAAGAAAACAAGTATTGTATAACTCCATTTATATGAAGCATTTGGTAGTCAAAATCTATGAAGACAGAAAGTAAAATGGTCATTGCCAGGGGATAGGAGGAGAGAACGGGAACTCATGGTTTAAGGGGTATAGTTTCCGTTTTACAACAGATAAAAAGAGTTATGGGGATGGATAGTGGTGATGGTTGCACAACAATATGAAATGTATATAACATCACTGAGCTGTACATTTTAATTTTTTAAGTATATTTTTATTGATTTCAGAGAGAAGGGGAGAGGGAGTAAGAAACATCAATGATGAGAGAGAATCGTTGATCAGTGGCCTCCTGCACACCCCCTACTGGTGATCGAGCTTGCAACCCGGGCATGTGCCCTTGACTGGAATGGAACCCAGGACCCTTCAGTCCGAAGGCCAATGCTCTATCCACTGAGCCAAACCAGCTAGGGCACTGCACTGTACATTTTAAAATGGTTATGGTTATTATGTGTATTTTACCACAAAAGAGACAAAACAAACTAACACCACAATAAAATCCTTTGTTGAATCACTTATCACCTCTTTAATATAGTACTATATTCTTCCTTTACTGTTAAGTATCATTTCCTTTCCAATCTTTCTTTAGCCACTGCAATCTAGCATCTACTAAATTAACCTAAAGGCCCTTCTAATCTAATGGTCTTCATTTCTTTAAGCTTTCAAGAGCTTCTCACCCATCTTTCCAATGCTGATTGTTGAGGAGGAAAGTGACAGGGACTCTTAATCACCCAGGGATTTCTCTCCCTCCCCTCCAGCTCCCTGCCACTACATCTGACCAGAATTCCACCCTGGACTTCAGTCAGAATCTTCAGGTAAAGAATGTAGATGGAATGTGAATCTTGAAAAAGCTTCTCAAATCATTTTGATAACCAGCACAACATACTTATATCAACTTTCTCTGTACTAAATTACATGCCAAGACAATTATTTTGTTGTGCAAGTATTACTGAAATAAAATAAAATAAACTAATGCTCAAATGTCAAGCACATTTCAATCAACTGACATTTAATTTGTTGTAATAGCTAGCTAGTATCTGATAGAGTTGAGATAATTCTACCTTACCTAAGTCTGTATCTAGAATGTATTATTCATTTCTAAACTCCATTACTAAGCAGTTTGAAAAAACTACTTCACAATTTTTGAATCATTGATAAAATGTCTATATAAAATGAGGTAAAAATAAGGGATTTTAGAAAAAACAAACACTACTTCGCCCTGAAAAACCCTAAAAAAGCATTTTAAGTATTATTTTAAACACACATACCTGGATTTTGATCTTGATCGAGAATGGGATTCAGAATGTTTGGAAACCCTTGATGGACTACGAGATCCTGACCTGCTCTCCGATTTTACACGAGCAGGAGTTCCCGTTGGAGATTTTGACTGAGAGCGAGACTCCTAACAAAGAAGACAGTATTACAAATGGCACTGGTCAAGTAGATGCCTAACACCTAACATTTAAAGTACCGTAATTATTTATATTGATTGCTCCTGAAAAAACAAATGGTTAGGCAACACCCTCCAGAAAAAATTTCAGCTCATTAATAACCCATTGTTAATACTGCTAACTGTCCTCAATAATTCCCTACTTGAACCAGATCACCAATTCTCTATTAACTAAGTAATCATGCAAATTCATCTACAACTTGATCATACAGACACTGGAACATAAACCATACATTTACTTAACCTAGGACCCATTCATTCTTCCAGATTCTTTTAATTCTACTTCACTCTTGCTTTCTACTTCTCTTCATTCTTCATTGAGTTTTTCATTTTTCATACTTCGTGTATTCTTCCCCAATTCAAACAATTCAAAATAGCCTTAAAAAAATATTCAAGTGCTTCTATCTGACCAATCTTCTGTTCAATTTTTTCCCCCATTCAATTTTAATTTTCTGATCTTTAATACTTTTCATTAGCCTTCTTTTATCTTGATTTATCTTCCACATTCTTGGAAAAAACTCTTCAATTTCTTCACGAACATTAACCTTAATGGAAAAAGAACATTTAGTATATTTAAGCACGTGGGGATTATAAAACTCTGCTGGAGTTCAGAATGTTATCTACCAAATGGAAAGCCAGCAGGTAAAGTGCAAATAACTAGTTTATTTAAAAAACAACTTTATAATCTTTAAAAACTGCTCAAAAGCCTAGTTTCTAAAAATTAGGGAATTCTGAATTTTTCTAAATGTTTTTACCATACTCTTCACCCTCCTCCCCTTTCATGTTTCATCCTAGTTCCTAAAATGTGAACAATTTTAATATGAATACTTAATTCGAGCATAAATCTAACATGAACTCTAATCCCCCATCTACATTTTCACTAATTTATAACCTGAAGAATAAGCTTTCACTAAGCCATGCAAAGCATCCTACCCTGAAATATTTGCACACACCTATCTAAACTCAAACACTGCAGGACACATGCTAAGGTTCAAAGCAGTAGAAAAAAAATTAGTACAATTACTAACACCTCCCAATTTTGTTTGACCTATCTTTGCTTACTCCGACTTAACCAGGAAGATAAGTTCTGACAAGCATTCTGAAAAAGTAAGGGGAAAAGCATGAAATTCTTAAAATTCCCCCCTGGCTTGTAAATTCCTAATATATGTATTTTTGCACCTGTGGCATTTAAAAACTCTTTATTACCCATTAAGTATCATATAGCACAAGAATTTATCACAAAATTATAACATGGTCTTTATTTTTTATCCCACCTCTTTTTGTTCATAGTTTTTGCAGATTTTATGCAGCTATGCATTATTTATACTCCCCCTTCAGTGACTATATCCTATACCAGAAAACTGGCTTCTGAAAAAGTTGAAATTAAAAACAACTACTTTCCAAATCAAACAATTTCAAACTAAAAGACTTCCTACCATGCAACCTGCTTACAACTTTTCCTTTACATTTTACTTAATGTCAAAAACTGTACTAATGCTGCTATGCATATTTATTTTTTCAGATGAAAACAAAACTGAATATATTTAGCTATCTACACAATATCTCACACACACTCTAAATTTCTGGACAGAAGCCTGGAGCAGGAACAGCAATTCAGGCCGTTTGATTCACTGAAACTGTAAAAGCAGCATATTCAGTACTTTAAAAGGGAGTGGGGGACAACAAATAATTTGCTTGTAATTGCAGTCTCACAGACTGGTTCACTAACTACGCTGATTTAAGAATATCTTCCCCTCTCTCTTTTTGCTTTCCTGTCTATAAAACAAATCCTCTGGTATAACATTCATTTATACTACTGTAGAATAGTAGTAGATGGAACAGTGCCTATGAACATCAGCACAGCCCTTGTTATAATACATATCAGAAGGCTTTGTGCTCTGTGACACTATAAAACTTTTCATTTTACTAGGATAGAAATAAAAACCCTATATATTAAAACACCAAATTTATTCTTAAATGTTTATGTGAAGCTTTCTAGTAAAGGATAAAAATGTTAAGGCACAAATATATGTGTATATTTCATTTTCAAATGTTCTCTCATCAGCATGACTAATGGTTGAAAATTATTCAGTAGTAATGAAAATTACCACTTCTTAGAAACTAATGTAAATAAGGTAATCAGTAACATCTTAAATTATAAATACCAGTGCCGGCACAGCTCATTGGGAAAAATGCAATTTTCCTTTTATTTGCTAACAAAGTATTAAGATATGACAGTATCTTTTCAAAAGACATTAGCATATTTTTAAAGAGGACTTGCTTTTTATTATCCAGTGTTACAAATATCTAACTTCCTTTGTTGCCTATCCTTCAATTTTGTTTTAGCAGGGAACCTAAATCTGCATAAATTTTTTCATAGAATCATTCAAGGTTAAGAAACAGTCCTCTTAACTCCCATTAACTCCTAGTTTCAAGGCTGTCACTATTGGTTTACTCTCCCAAGAAAATGTATAAACTCGAGACTTTAAAAAAATAAATAATCGTCAGTACACTTAACCTAAAAAATAAATTATAAGGAAAAAAAATGTAAACTATATAGAGAAAAAAATTAAAATAAAATATACCTTTAATTCTTCAAAATTTTTATAATACTAAGGCCTGTCCTAAGAACTAGTTGTTAATAGTCTTCACACACAGAAAAATGGTCATATTAATATTTACCATTTTTAAGCAACTTATTTCTCCAATGCTAGTGCCAAATAAATGTCGTTTTCACTGAACTGTACATTAGAAAACAGGCTACAATGAGCCCTTTATGGACAAATGCTACATTTCCCTTTTTACCTTTGACTTGCAACCACATCATATCACAAATTTTAATGTAAGTCTTAAATAGGCTTCCATTCCATCATAACCACTATAAATCAAAAGCCAAGCAAAAAGTTCTCACCGCACAACCTGCTCAAATAACGTGTTTGTTCTTTTAACTTGTTTACTATCAAGGTACCTCTGCTGGTAGCTGGACATAGCCTCCTCCCCCATCGCCCCAAAAAGGAAGAAGCTAACCATAAATATTAAGGAAGTTATGAGTATTCAATAAAGCCATCTAGGAGCCATCTTTCTTTTCTGTGTTAAAATACAGTTGTATTTTACATATTGAAAATAACTGCAACAACCACATACTATTATTTTAATCAGGAAAATGGGTTATTCAATATATGCACACGTTGCAGAACACAATTTCCACAGCAAGCAATAACTGCAGTGCTTTTTAATAAAGCTAGTATTATATTATAGGTGAAAAAATTTACACCAATATATGCTTAATACTTAAACACATAATCCAATATAAATGCTACACTGTAACCCATACTACTGTTATGGCAAGGCGAACTCTATGCCAAGTAATAGTGGCAAGTTTACACAATTCAAATCTATATGACTAGAACGTAAACTTTTAAAATAAACTTTCTCAAAATATATTTCCCCACTATTTTATGAAGTTGGGTATCTATTTCCATAGAAATACACTAGTGCATTTAGGTAAATTGTATGTCCAAGGGAGGGGGCGCTTAAATTACCCAAATAACTTATATTGTACTGTACCAAGAACCTCACTTTAGGACATATGAAAACCTGCTTTCACTCAATTCTTTCATTTCAGTCTACAGAAATAGCAGTTCTGTCTCCTTTCTCGAGTATGATAGGCTGCTTCTTTAACAGACTCCTAGGCTTATAAAAGTCCCTAACAACTATTAGAGCAATTCCTTAAAAAAACAAACAAACACAAAACAAAAACCCCTAAATTCTCACATTAGCTATTTTTAAATGATTTCCCTTTCTTTAAGGTTATACCTATATGATGTATTCTGAGTGAGGTTAGAGTGGTCTTAGTATCTGCAAAGACTCATAGATATTTTAAATGTGGCTCATAAACCTGCCAGCTTATATGCCATCATCAATTAAATCCAAAAAGCTAGTGTACTAAGTGACAATTTCAAAGGCATAGAAAACAACTTTATAAGAACTAAAAAGGTTGAGGTATAATAAAGCCAGTAAACAGCAACTAAAAGCAAACTACTAAAAAAAGAACCTGTCATAGTACTCTCTACTTATGTTCTCATTTTCTAATGTCATGAAGTACTTATGAATTTGAATAAGACTACAGGGCCTTAGTTTCAAGGAAAAATAAACTTTTCCTTCTACTTCAGATGGGTCAGGCCTAGTCACATCTTTCGTGAAAATTATGAGACAATAAGGACTATACACAACTATACATGGCAGTAACTTAGAGGAGGGAGGGGAAACCACATTTCCTTTCATTATTCACCTCAACTTTCTTTCACAGGGTTTACTGATTCTTTTTCCCATCTGATCTTTGCCATTTTCTCACCTCCACTTGTCTTGCTAAATCTGTTATGACATAGGAACATTATCAGTATTAATTCAGCATGTAAATATATACCTTTTACAAAGGTTCCATGGTTAGTTATTTGATATCTAAGCACCCACTGATATTACAAAGAGTTTTCACACTGTTTGGCAAGTTCTACGAAATTATTATGCTAATTATTCATGGCTATTTCACACTTGTTATATCCTAGGTAAATAACTAGTTCATTTACAAAATCAAGTCCATAAGTTTATTTGTATTTTTAATGAAGCTCATTCGTAAATACTTAAATCTCTTAATATTAGTTCAGGTCCCAAAACCGAACTAATTCTCTTTCAGAAATGGTACAAATATTAAGCATCTATGACAAATCTGTAAAATTACAGTTATGCTCTGTGGCTACAATTAGCTGCATTGCTCCTTTTAAAAATGCTACCTTCTACTTGTATTGAGCAAATTAAAATTAGTACCCTTCAGTGAAAGAAATCTCAAATGTAAAAATCTGAGAATTAAAATTAGATGATCCCTGTCGGGTAGCTCAGTTGGTTATAGTGCTGTCCCAATAGGTCCAATCCCCAATCAGGGCATATACAAGAATCAGCCAATGTATGCATAAATAAGTGGACAACAAATTGATGTCTCTGTTTTTCTCCACCCTGCTCTCTCAAATCAATTAATAAAAAAAAAAAAAAAAACGGGTAACGATAGTACTTAATTTTAGGAAGAAAACCCAAGACAAATAAGACTGTATCAAGTTTAATACAACCCCTACTATAAGAAAGGAAGCTTTATCCTTTTCTAATAGGTTGATGTGATGAGAGAGGAAATTAAATTTCTGAAAAAGCTGAACTGAAAGCTAAAGTGCGGACATTTTATCTGTAAAATAGGAAATCAATTTTATTTACATTATTTTAAACCCTCATCAACAGAAAAGTAAAAAACCGAGTTTTAGGTTTTTTGTTGTTTTTTATTTTAAAAAGGAGCCAGTCACCAAGCTGGCTTTTGAATGATGTAGTCACTGCCCCTATTATTACAAATCAGGTTTCAGATAAGAAATAAATCTTCCCCTATTTCTGCTGTTCAACAAAATATCAACAAATTTTAATTCCCAAATTGGTACAGATGAACTTGTGTTTTGCTCTTCATTTGTATTATTTAGTCAATCACGTATATATATATATATGTGTGTGTGTGTATATATGTAACCCTAGGAGTCTCTTAAGAAAGTAGGAGTAAGCTCTAAAAAGGGGGGCAGGAGTAAGTATTATTTTTCCTCCTTAAATGGACTTTAAAGCATAGACAATTATGGAATTATAAGATGGACTTCCACACAATAATCATTAACCTCTATTAAAAACATTGGGGCCATTGTATGAGAATATAATTGGACTCAATATTTTTCTAAGTTTCATTAAAAAAATCTAGGGGAAGAGAGGAATAAAAATAAGTGAAATAAGAAAAGCTTAATTTCCATTCTCCTTAATTTCTCTAAAGGACACTAAGATTTCTTGAGATGGAAATCCCACTTTTAGTTGAAGCTGTGCGAAACACACAACTCATTCTTTTTAAGACCCGCAAAGCAATAGCTCAAGTGCCAACTCCCAGCTCCAAAAGACATTTTCACTTAAAATACTTCTGTTAACGTGATATACATGTCCCAAGCAAATTGTTTTAAAGAACCTATTTTATGAGTACCACTATTCTCTTGGAGCCCTTAAAAATGTCTCATTCTTAACATCCCACTGATGTCCTGTTTAGACCAAATTTTTCATAATTTCCTTCCTAAAATATATTTTTAAAAATACATTTTTAAAAATTGATTTCAGAGAGGAAAGGAGAGGGGGAGAGAGAGAAACATCAATGATGAGAGAGAATCATTGATGGGCTGCCTTTGAATGTCTCCTTCGAGTGCCCTGACCGGGAATTGAAAGGTGACCTCCTGGTTCATAGGTCCATGCTCAACCACTGAGCGACTCCAGCCAGGCCTAAAATATTTAAACTGTGCCCTGCTGCTCTTCCTGTACCAATCTCTTTGTTCTTTGCTAAAATCTCTTTCATTATGCCACTCCCAGAATTAATAATCCATACATGGCTCCTCACTGCATATTGGATTAAATCCAAATTCATAAATTTAGAATTCAAAACCCTCCATTATCTGACTGCATATTTAGTCAATCTATCATCTGTCACTATTCCAGCAATCTATTCACTCACTGTCACATCTATACCATCAATATTCATTTCCCTTACCAAAAGATCCAAGGTAAGTTCCATATAGTAGGTAGAGCTCTCCCTTTCCAGTAGCTCACAGAACTGCTCGGCACCATTTTTTGAATTCCTTATTAATTCTATCACACAGCACTTGTTTATGTACTTTACCCAGATTTGAGCTGTCAGTCATCCCAAATAAGACTTCAAGTTGTCCCCCCCCCCCCCAATCTGTTTTTATTGTAAACATGTTTTTATAGTAAAAAGGCAGCAGCAGATTCTCAACAGTTTCACCTCAGGCAGAAGGGAATTTTGGTTAGCTAAGTCTTAGGGTTACTTATAACTAAATTGAGTCAATTATATTTTCTTTCCTAAAGTTCTTTTACTCCAGTACTTTAAAATCAAAGAGACATTAATCCATAATGGAAAATTAAGCTCCTGTAACTGTGTTTAGCAAAATCCATTAATGGCTCAGAGGCACTGAAGTACATGCACTCTTTAAAAAAAAAAGTGAACAACATAGTGTTGTATGAGCAAATAACTGGGATTTGTACATCTCAAATTCCTGGCTGCATGGTCTTCTGGGCCTCAGTATTTTATTTTAAAAATATATTTTTATTGAATTTCAGAGAGAAGGGGAGAGGGAGTAAGAAACATCAATGATGAGAGAGAATCATTGATAGGTTGCCTCCTGCAAGCCCTCCTACTGGGGATGGAGCCTGCAACCCGGGCATGTGCCTACACCTGGAACTGAACGGTGGACTCCTGGTTCATAGCAATGGTCAACCACTGAGCAACAGTGGCCGGACTGGGCCTCATTTTTTAATTTCTAAAATGATCAGAGTACTGCAGCCCTTAAATGAGAAGTAAATGACAAAGTATGTCAACATTTTTGGGGGAGTGGGTATAGATTCTAAAATTCTATCAAAATACAAACCCTTAGTATTAGCCCTATTTTTAAAAATGTGTTCTGAACTCTCTAGAAAGTTGCCCTTTAATTTTAAGTATCTTCTCAGTAAGATGGGGTAAATATGTGCTGTTTATTCTGTAGATAAAGCAAATGAAATCTAAATTCTGACCTATCAGTTTTCTCTAACTTATTTTAGTAAAAAAAGTTTGAAATATAACAATTACTTAAACATCTTGAAATCCTTTTTTGAGCCTTTGTAAATTTAGATACAAAGACAAGAAAACAATTGTATTCTATAAAAACTGCTGGTTGTGGTTAGCAGATAATCATTGTACTTTAAAAACCAAAAGCACGAGTGAATTGCTTTAAGAAAATGTAAATCCTCAGAAAAGCCTCTGGCATTCTTCTAATTCCTTAACCAATTACAGATAAAACAATAACCTCAAACTACGTTAAAAAAAAAAAAAAAGTAACACATGAGCATGGACTTATTCAGAGTTCACCCATACTAAAATACTTGGGTATCATGAAAAAGTATTTCCTATGACCACAACCACCACACAAGTGTAAACACTCTTTTTCTATTAAAACAAATTAATGCCTACATACATTTTAGATTAAAATTGGGTGGGAATCTTACATATATTACATATATAAGGTGGGAAAGGCGACAAGTATGTTAAACTAAGAACTTAAGGGAAACAAGATCCCAAATAGCAAGTCCTCTTCCCCACAAACCAAATCAAAACAAACATTAAATGAATTTTTTTTGTACGAAATAATCGAAGAAAAGATTAATGGATAGAATTCTTTCCAATAACTACCTAATTAATAGCTTACAACTACCACCAAATGACTTTTAAAAGTTTGCTGGGACAAGCCAATACCCCATCCTAAAAAATGAGCACTTTACTCATTTATATCTATCCTCCAGATTAGATTTTTAAACATCCAATCTTATAGGAATTAAAAACAGTTTTTGTTTATAATCTACTTAAGTCTCTTTCCTCAAAAAGAACAAAAGCCTGATGTAACTGTCCGGTTCCAGGTGTTTATAGTATGAGCTTCTAAAAGACAAACTTCAATCCGGCCAGCACACACCTGCAGTGTTTTTACGCGTTTCCCCTAGTGACCGGGATACTAACACAACAGAGGAAACACGTTGCCTGGGGGTTGTTTTCAGGGTTTCACACTCACTCGCTCCCACCAATTTCCACCTCGAGAGCAACTTCGGAAACACAACGCAAGCCCCGACAAACGTGCTAGTACATTTAAGCTTAGAATCACTTATCTGCGATGTTTATACTCATCGACCCATGAGAAGCTTCGCGCCCTCTTTGCTGATGGAGAACAGTATACACTGACTCGCTATTTTAAAAACACTGAGCCATGAAATCCCTTCAGTTATGTAAGATTAGGACACAAGATCCCCCCCACACACACTTTTTTGTTTGTTTGTTTTACCGTAAAAACCTGTAAAAGGAGTGGTCAATTTTTAGATGAAAGGTCACAGGAAGAGAAAAAGCATTAGAAGCTGAGATATAACGAAGAGGGGAAAAAACAACAACAGCCCAACATCAAGGAATCAGAAAAAAAAATAAGGCGTTACAGCATTTCCACACTCATTTCGGAAGGCGAGGCGAGGAGAGTAGAAGGGGCATTTAAGGGGGACGGGGGCTCCCGGCGTAGCGCTCCCCGCACGGCTCTCGCCTTAAGGACGCTTAAGGGTCGTTGCGGTCGTTGACTAACCACTTCCTGGGGCTCGTCCCACCTTCCACCTCAAGGCTTTCGCCTTTAGAGACGCAGCGCCGCCGGTCCCAGCAGAGCCGCGGCCGCTCACTGCAACAGAGAGCCAAGGAGA